GGGGGAAAGTGCAGTGGGGTGGAGGGGAGGGAGGTGGGAGCTCAGACCCCACCCCAGGGACCCCTGGGGATCTTTTCCCTTTTCTCCCCCACTCCCAGCCCATGAGCTGGTTTCCTGGGAGGAGCCACCACTCCTGGGGGGTCTACTCTGGGGGGTAGCATGCCCGGGGAGAGCGAGGGCTGCCCCCTCCCTTGGAGATTCTCTCCTGGGTTTTTCACGCCCGCCTGGAAGGGGAAGTGCTTGAGCTGAGGACTCAGGAAAATAGAGGCCAGCTGGACAACGCGTGGCCTCCCCACCCAACGTGGGCTCACTCTCCTGTCCAACCACCCCAAGCCATTGGCTGGGTCGGGACACAGCCAGTCCACATGGAACCTTCATGTCGACTAGGAACAGGATCCCTTTCCTCAAGACATTTTAGCTCCATCTGCCAGAAAACTGTCCTAACAAATACACCAACGGGCCGTGTTCTACGGCGTGAACAACGACCCCTGCACGCGGTGCCCTTGCACAGTGCACACCCTGCACGAACCTACGCGGCAGTCTCGGCCGGGCTGGGATTCGAAGCGCAGGCCCCCTGCTGCCCTGACCCCTGGTCTTCGGCCTAATGGAGCAGTGAGTGGGGTTATTTACGGTCTCAGCACGGGGTCCAAGGAGTCCCTCGGTGGAGCGGACTGAAGGCCGGGACAAGAGGAAGACGCAGGGTGGAGGTAGAGAGATGAAACAGAGGAGGTGAAGGCAGGGGAGTGGAAGGAGGCAGTGAGCGCCCAGATCACCATCCATGGTGGCTCCAGAGCAAACTTCATCTCTAACCCATCTGACGGGGCACTTGGCTGCCGGGTACTCGGGCCACGCCCACGCCCACCCAGAGGAGTCCACATCTTCGAAGATTTCATATATAGAAAACGAAAGGAAGCCACTATAAGCAGAGGTGACCGGGGAGAAAGAAGTGACTGGGCCTGGGCGCCGTGGGAGGATTTCTCTCCAGTCTACGGTCCAACGCGTGGTCTCAGCCACAGGAGGATGAGGCACCCTGGCCTGCCTGGGGGTGCTCCCTTCAGAGCGGGCCAGGGGTCCTGGGACCGGGCAGGCCATCCATGCCTAGAGGGCCTCAGGGCCACGTGCAGGGTTTCAGGCCAGTCCACGGCGCTCAGGTGTGACCCGGGCCAGGAGCCGGGGAAGGGAAGCTCCTCCGGTCCCCGAACGGCGATCCCATGGGTCTCTCTTACACTTCTATGCCACATTCTCGGGGTCAGCGGAGGAAGACAGCGATGGAGTTCAGGTCCTTCGTGTCCTTCTGGAGCTCCCGGGCAAGGCGCTGGGGGCCAATGAGGGGACCCGCTGGTGGGTGGACAGGCGCGTGGGAGGGGGGGAAGCACCATTGGCCGTCCGAATCAGGCATCGAGACAGACGGACGAGGGGAACAATATTATCACTCCAAGGACCCCATGGGGGCGATACAGCAAATACCATATTAAATAACCCTGTAGGCCAAGCAGAGGGAGACAGGGGGTCAGAGACAGCCTGGGGGCTCCGGCCCATACTCACACGCCTCCCTTGCCAGGGGCAGGGAGCTGAGGCTGACCAGCCATCCCTGGTTTCCAGCAGCGCTCAGGGCCTGGGGGAGTTGAAGTTTAGACTTCCCGTCCTCTTAGGGCATGTAGGGACACAGCTGGGCTGGGGTCCCCAAAGACCCTCACCCACCTGCCCCATGAGAAAAGTCAGCCGAAGTTGGGCGGAGGGGATCCAGGCTTAGAGCTCAGACTTTTGTATGGGGAAACACCTCTCTGCAGCCCAAGCCACAGGCCAGGGGAGAAGAAACCCCAGGGGCCTGGACCTCGGGTTCCCCGCCTGGCCTCACCTGCCCACACGCTCTTGCAGATGCCCCTAGGCTCCGAGGGTCTCCTTCAATGCCTTCTTGTCATGCGTGTGCTTGAACTTCTGGTGCTTCCCCTTGGGGGGCCGGCGGACTCGCACCGTCCGAATGGTCACCCGAGTCTGGGGTGTCCTGGCTGCTGGAGAGAAAGAAAGGGCTTGTCAGCAGGTGGACAGCCTCTGGAGGGAGCCATCTTAGCAGATGAGGAAACTGAGGCAGAGAGACCGGGATCTGAACGTAGGAGTCTGCTTCTGGACTCCATGCTTTCAACCACTGGCCTACGAATCACAGCACTTGTGAGCCTGGGTCAAGGTTAGCACTTAGGTCTCTTCCTCCTGAGCCCTTAGGTCGACATCCTGGAAGCGAAAGCTTTCTCCGCCAAGCTCAAGGCCCGTTTCTTCCTGGGGGCCTTCCCCAGCGATCCCAGCTCTTTGGGGCCGACACCGACCTCCCACCTCACAGACACAGCCCGCCCTGAAGCGGTCAGCCCATCTCTGCAAACAGACAATGTAAGGATACAGGCAGGTGTCAGATGCCCCTTGGGGGAGGACATCTAGACGGGCCATTAAAGGGCCCAGAGTCTGGGCTCCAAGGATGGGGTCATCGGCACAGGACGCGGGGCTGGGCAAAGCCTGAACAAGCGTGAGGTCGTCACGCAGCTCGCGAGTGACAGAGGAGAGTCTCGAGCCCGGGGGGTCTGACACCGGCCACCACACGGGCCACACCACCACACCGTAGCCAAGCCGCGGACAGCTGCCAGCGGTGCAGTCGCGTGGGGCCAAGTTGCTGAAACTGACATGACAAGGCTTTAGGTCATCTACAGATTAGTCAGCAGAACAGGCCTTCCAAAATCTGGTTTGGAAAGTCGCAGGAAGCAAAGGCACGTAAAAGAACCACACTCCAAACACAAAGAAGAATATGAAGTTTCCCGAATAGGAACCACGCTACATCTTTTGGCGATTCCGTGTTATGCGATATTCCATGTTGTTCCGTGTTAATCGTAGCGATCATTTACAGCAGGTCAGTTTGAAGCTGGCAAATTATTAGTCTTCTCAGGGCGTCCGTGCCTTAGCTCGGCTCTCAGAACAGGACAAAGAGGCTAAGAGACAGCCCTGCCTTCAGGGGTCTTGTCAGATGTCTGTCCTCCAACAATTGTAAGTTACTGAAGATCAACACGTGATTTTTTTTGAATGCTCATCTAATCCTATTAACTAAAAAATTCTTGATCCTTACTGCAAACGTGCGAGGAAGAAAAGGCAGCAGGACAGTCTAAGGAACCCAGAACTAGACAAGACCTGGGTTCTGGGCTAGACTTTGTCACTGTGCAACCTTCGTTAAGTCCCTTACCCTCTCTGTGTTCCAGCAACCCCTTTAATAAGACTGAAAGACCGACTTAGAAGGTCATCTCTCTGGACTGTTCTGGCTCTCAAAGTTTTGAATTCTTTGACCACAAGAAAATGATAAGGCAGGTAGGCGCGAGCGACTGGTGTCAGAGTGAGAGAAAAGCCCAGAACAGAACGTGAGGATACCTTGATCCAGCTCTCCCCCTGCCCGGGACTGGCTGTGTGACCTTGGGCAAGACCTCAGCCTCTCTGAGCCTCAGGCACCTCTTCTGCAAAATGTGGACCAGGTATTTGGATCAGATCATTTTTTTGGTCCTTTTCGACTCAAGTCAAACTACGCCCCTGAAATTGTGAATTCACAAAATCGAAAGAGAGGAACACAGCTCCGGTTCCAAACATCCATCAGATGCCTGAACCCCATCTGTCACTTCACTGCTGCAGGATGGCCCAGTCTCTACCCACACATCTTCAACAACAGAAACTCCCTACCGCACAAGGCATGCGATTCCATCTTGGCCCCCTGACTGATCAACAGCTTTTGACATATAGAGTTCAAACCCCTCTCCAGGGGCTTTTCCCCCACTGGTCCTGATCCCCACTGAGGGCCATAAGGAATTAGCTTGACTTCTCACCCCCAGGACAAGTTGTCAAGTATCTGAAGATGATGTGCATGGAATCTTCTCTTATGTGCTCGTTCGACAAAGTAAGGGGCTGTGGTAGCAGGACAGGGATGGGGGCTGCCCTGGACAAGGTAGTCAGGGTAGACCTCTAGGAGGAGGGGACTTCTGAGCTGAGACCCAAACGAAGAGGCTTGTGAAGAGTTGACAGAAGTGAGTTTCGGAGGGAAAGTGGCATGTGCAAAGGCCCTGAGGCGGAAACACATCTGGCCACGCAAAGAGGTCAGGTTGGCTGGGGTGGCATAAGTGAGGGGGAATGGTTGGCAACAAGGCTGGAAGGCCAACCGGGGGCTAACATCCTCACGTAAAGCTTCGGATGAATTTAAGCAGGGGTATGCCTGCTCCAACTTCCCCCCGCAACCGGCAGCTGCCACAGGAGAAGCGAGCTGCCCAGCTGAGCCGTTCGGAGGCAGACCCCGGACCAGCGCTTACCTCGCTGCTCTTGGGAGCTCCCTGGGCTTCGGGTCACGGGTCGTGCAGCCACCACCGTCTCACACTTGCACGCCAGGTGGTCCTCCAGGGTCACCGTGGCCTTCTTAAAGACTGGCCTCTTCCGCACAATCTCGATTTTTCTCACCTGGAGGACAGAACCATCGAAGTGCCTCTGGGAGACACTACGCGGGCAGGGGCCGAGGGAGCCCGCCTGCCTGCTCTTCCCTCCCCAGTGTCCCCCCGCAGGGATCTTTCCTCGAAAGCAGGGGGTGGAGAGAGGCAGGGCAGACACTCTGGCCCAAACAATAGCAGGACCTTGCCCTCTACCCTTCTTGTAGCTTTTCCATCAAAACAAGCCCTCCCGACCCGGCCTCCAGCTTTGGCTGCAGCCCCCTTGGAGCTCCCAGAGAGGGAGAAAGGCATTTCCGGGTTGAGCGTAGGGCCTGCGGTGTCCCCATTCCCGGAGCGCCAGCCAAGGTCAAGGGCTATGGCAGAGGCGGGAGATGGTTGTCTGGAAGGAAGTGGGGGGGAGGCTTTATCCAGGAGGGAGGCGGGCAGGGGGAGGTCAGCTGTCAGGTGTCCATCCATAGAGCTGGAAGCAGTGGGGACAGGAGATACCGTGACAGTGGGTGGTGCGGTAGAGAGTGACACTTGTGATCTCGGGCACGGGGCCCAGGCCTGGGATGGATGGTGGGCAGGGGGAAAGGCCACAGCTGACCTCAGGGAGGGGAGTATGGTGACGCAGGTGGAGCCTTTGGCAAGAGTGGGGCTCGCCAGCCGGTGCCGAGCCCTGGAGGTGCAGCTCGGCCCAGCCCGAGTCGGTGTGCAGGCGAGGCAGACCCGAAGGGCACAGAAACCTCTCCGCGTGAATCAGAAGACCGCTGAGGCTTCTCTGGCCCTGCCTTGCCCAGCGTGAGACCCGGAGCTCCCCCGGGCAGCCTCTACTCTAGAATTTGCCTTGAGTCAGAGTGCACACCCGATCTTTCTAGAAAGGAGGCAGGGTTCAGCATTCTGACTCTGCTAGGGGCTGCCCCAGCTCTTGCAACGTCTGCCGCCCGGAGGGCCTCCGCCCCCCTGCTCGTGAAGGACACGGCAAGGAGCCTCAACAGGTCTGGAGGAAAACTGAGCAGCCCAGAACATTCTGAGTGCCCAACAAATGCTCGTAGACCTGTCTCTTCCGGGGACCTCTTGGGATTTCACCCTTGCAAAAGAGGCAACACCCTTCACTAAATGTCCCACGCCTGGCCCTGCCTGGGGGTCCGCCTGTGGCTTTTGGTTACAGCGGCCTGGGTGGCCTCGAGGACTCACAGGTGGCCTCAGAGCACCTGCCCAGAGGGCGGCCTGCAGGTGGCCCTCTCTGGATGGAGCCCGGGGGCCCGCCAGGAATGCCCCTCCGCCCCTACGGAGCGAGCGACGAGCCCCCGAGGGCAGCCCCCGCCCACTGCCCGGGCCGGCGAGCGGGCTGGGCAGGGGTGGGGGTGGGGGTAGGGTGGGAGTGGGGTGCGGGCCCCCCGCGCACCTGGACAAGCCGCAGCTGCACCTGGGTGGGACGGCACTGCACGTTGTGGTTGTTACAGCAGCCGGAGCAGCGCTGCACCTCCACGCAGGGCGGCCACACCAGGAAGTTGGCGTTGGTGCGGTCTATGAGGCGCCGGGACACCTCGAACACCTCCGTGCGTGTCTTGCACTCGGCGATCATGGCTGGCTCGGCGACCGTCGGGGAACCTGAAGGGAGAGGGGGCCTCCGTCAGGAAGGTGGGCCTGCCCAGGGCCCCCACCCGGCGGCCAAGCCCAGCGGGGGCACTGCTGTCCCCCAGAGATGGCCGGCTAGGGGCGCCTGGGGGGCTCAGTCGGTTAGGCGTCCGACTTCGGCTCGGGTCACGAACTCACAGCTCATGAGTTCGAGCCCCGCGTCGGGCTCTGTGCTGACGGCTCGGAGCCTGGAGCCTGTTTCAGATGCTGTGTCTCCCTCTCTCTCTGCCCCTCCCCTGCTCACCCTCTGTCTCTCAAAAATAAAACATTAAGAAAATTTAAAAGAAAAAAAGGGGGGGTGGGCTGATCCCCACTTCCTTCAGCCCCAGGGACAGTTTTCGTGTCCTGGCTATTATCAGCCGTGGGACTTGGACAGGCTGCTGATGGGCTCTCAGCCTCAGTTTCCCCATGAGATCTACACCCCAAGAACCGCCTTAAGGATCCAGTGAGATCATTCAGAGAGTGCCGGCCTGTCGTAAATGTCGGCGTCCTTCCACCAGCCCTCGGTTTCATTCGGCTATTTCACAGGTTTATGGGCTTGCCCGACTCCTGGATCCTACTCACTTATTATTTTGTAACCGCTCTTATGTTGCCATTTGACACTGTAATCTATTCTTAAATCCTTGCTTCTTTCAACGCCTGTTCCCTCATCTACGTGTGACACGGGATGACAGAGCCTATACTGCACCTGCGGATCTAAGGGCTAACGTGAGTGGCCTAGAGCAAGCGTCCAGTCGACGCCGGGGCTCTGTCTTCGTTTTCATGTAGAGACGCTGCCCAAATTCACAGACGGAGGAGTGGAACTCAGGCCACCGACTCTTATCTGGAGGTCCCCGAGCCACTGTCTACAGTGTTGTGGGGACTTCAGGTGGGCAGAGAGGAGGAAGGGCTTAGAGCACGCACTGGCCTCCCCAGGGAAGGCTCCCACGGGACCCGGGCGGGTCCAAAGCTTTGCCTGCTGACCCAGGAGGCAGCCCTAAGCCGCGGAAGGGACATGCAGCCCGCCAGGATGGCACCGGGTCCACATGAGAAGAGCAGCTGGGATCCCAGCCCTAGTTGTTGCTAGCTGTGCGACTTCGGCCACGTCTACCCCTCTCTGGGCCGCAGTTTCCAACTCGACAAGATGGGGTTAATGATATCTGTCTCTCGGGTTGAAGAAATGCGTGTAAAACCACTATATTGGGGCACCTGGGTGGCTCAGTCGGTTGAGTGTCCGACTTCGGCTCAGGTCATGGTCTCACAGTCTGTGAGTTCGAGCCCCGCATTGGGCTCTGTGCTGATGGCTCAGAGCCTGGAGCCTGCTTCCGATTCTGTGTCTCCCTCTCTCTCTGCCCCTCCCCCGTTCATGCTCTGTCTCTCTCTGTCTCAAAAATAAATAAAAAACATTAAAAAAAAAAACAACAACACTATATTTAGGAAACCGTGTGTGTTGGGGGACGGGGCGTGAGGACTCAACTCCTCGATACAGTGTCCTGAAGGACAGTTGTACTCTCTTACAGTTTAAATCAGTCCTAAGTGCCGGACGAACGGGCGGCCCAGAGCCGTGGGCGGGCCGCCCGCCCCACGTCTCCTTCTCTGGCTCCCACTGTTGAGAAACCACCATTCTTACCTGCAGCCTCACCTAGGCTCCTTCTCCCTCGGGATAAGCTCTCCAGCTCGCCTCCAGAAAGGGATCGAGTCGAATTCAGGTCCAACTCGGCTCTGTCTTCGTCTGCAAGGCAAGGCAAGGCACAGTCGGAACGCACCCTGATAAGCGCTGGCCGGTCCGTTGGTGGGGTGGGGGCTCCCCTGGGGGCTCCGGGGTAGGCAGGAAGGTGGCCCCTTACCCGTCACTGGTACCCAACTCGAGACAACAGACTCCCTTTCCAGCTCCCTGTAAACCCGAGGGTCCTGGCTCTGGAAAGGGGCTCTCCAGGAACCCCGGGGTGGCCGTGGGGCTCGGGAGGGGGGTGAGGCCCTGACTGCATCCCTGGCGGGCCTTCAGCCCCACTCTGGGCTCTTCGGCCACATTTTTGGACAGAACCCATGTCAGTGGAGTTAAAAATAGCCCTTCCCTTTCGCTACTGTAAAAGAACCCTCCTCAGCCTCCAGGGCAGGGCAAGGACCCAGAGCTCGGAAGGCCAGTTTCCAATGCCCCTCCGCCCAGCGTTCCCATAGGAAGTGCTGAATGGAGAAATTCCCAGAATCCCCGGGGGGACCAGCTTGCCCTGGACACAGCCTCTCTGGAGCCCCGGACAATGGCCCAGCTGAGCGGGAGAGAGGGAGGAGGGAGAGGAGCAGGGGTGAGGGCTGAAGGCAGAGAGGGGTGGGGAGCCAGCCCGCAGGGATGGGGGTGCCCGTACCCCGTGCCCTTCCCAGCCTGGGTTTTGCTCCAGCTCCCAGTGTCTCGCTCACTGTGTTTGCCTCTCCCCTCTAACCTTTGGCCCCGGGTCCGCCCTACGGTCTGTTTACTCCTCAGGTGACAGTCTGAGGGGTCAGCCCTACGGTCCGTTTATTCCTCAGGGGACAGTCTACAAACTACAGCCTGGGGCGCCCTCCTCTCGGTGTCATAGCTGCTCCCTCTCTCTCGAGGCAGCCAACACCACTGTGGGAGGTGAGGGCCAGACAGGAGGACTTTGAGCTCAACACCGAATCCTGGGCAGACCCTTCTAGCTCTCTGACGGCTGAAGAGTCAGCACAGAAACCGAGGGGTGTCAGGGACAAGCTCCCGCCCCCTTCACGCAGCCCCTGGTCGCTCCTGCTGTCTCCCCTTCCTCCCGGCCCGCCAACGCCAACGCCAAGGCTCGTGTGCCCTTCCGTGTGGGCTCCCGGGGGTTCCTGTCTGGAGGAGACCCTCCTACAAATCCTACAACCGGTGCATTTCCATCCGGCCTGCTGCTCCCGCGCGTCAGAGCGTCTGTCTGTCCCTCTCGCTCCCTTCCTTTCTCCCTGCCATCTCTGGAATGTCCCTGGTGGAGAGGAGATGGGGGGAAAGATGTGCTTTGTGGCAAGGTTAAGTTGATTAGGAAAAAATAGCCACATGGTTGCCTCGAAACAGGCCCGCTATTGAAAACCTCCGTCTCCAATCCCGACCCCCACCCGGGGTGTGCAGGGGCTGAACGAGGGTGGGGGCCAAGGGCCTTGGAAAGAAACCGCAGAAAGGCTAAATTTGGAAGTTGCCCCATTGTGTTGGCCAGGGCTGGCCAGTCGGGCATGGGGTGGGGGATGTGGGAGACGTCGGGTGGGGGGCCGAGTGAACAATAGGTGGGCCCAGCTGGGGCCCCCTCCCGCCTGCCTCGCCAGCCCCCGGCACAGGCGGGTTTGAAAGGGCCCGGGAATGCTTTTGAGAGGGAGCCAGGGGCCCAACGGGGAGAGGAAACAAAGACAGGAAATGCTGTCCCCCGTAGATAGGAGTCTGGGCAAGGATTACAAAGTGACAAAGAGACAAAACCCTAGAGGGAAGGAGAGCTGGGGTTGCAGGGGGGGCGCTGACCGGGGCTCCAGGGAACAGGCCAGAGGTTAGAATAGAATGGAATTTGCTCTGAAGACAGCGTTTATAAATACATTCCTGACCCAGCCCGCCAGCCCGGCCACGTGTGTGCCACCAAGCACGTGCCCATTCGCTGAGGGCACTCTCGGGCGAGGGCAGGGTTGCCCGCTGGTCTGGGCCAGGTGTCCCCAGGAGACCTTACAGACCGGGCCCCCGGCCAGAGGGGCAGGGAGACGGCTCCTTCGGCACCACCCTTCCTGGCCGAGGCCACACCTGGATACACATTCGGCGTGTGCCCCAGGCACCTTCTCCCTGCCCCCCTCCTCCTGGCACCCGACCCTGTGCGCCAAGCCAAGGCAGAGCCACATGTGGGTGCTTCTCCCGCCACGCCCCACGTCCCGAGTACCAACCCATCCACCTACTCAGCCCTGCCCTGGACAGGTGTGGCCACGCCCTCCCTGGGCTGCCACAGGCCTCTAGTTACCTGGAAGTCAAGGAAGACAGGACGCCCCATGCCCTGCCCCTCGCGGCTCCCCGGGATTCAGTGGGGGCCCAGAGCACCGAACAAGGATTCAATTTACCTACGGAGTCTCCGTGTAGCAGGCGCTGGAGGTCATCGAAGGAGCGGATTGAGTGGTCACTCAGCATCTTGTAGAGTTCCTCGGGAATGGGGTCCCCCTGCCAGGGAGACACCATGGGGCCAAGTGAGCCAGGAGTGAGGGCTTTCCAGCCACGGCCCTCTTGCCCGCCACACACACACACACACACACACACACACACGCACGCACGCGCGCACCCTCCTATGGAAAACTCCCACAAGGCCTCTCGGCCCTGGGCAGGCAGACGGCCAGGATGGGGGCGCGGGCAGGGGGCGGATTCCAAGCCTGACACCCGGAAGCACAAAGGTCTAGGGGCCGGGACCTGCTGAAGCCTCTAAGAGCCAGGTCAGAAGCTCACCCCACACCCCCAGACACGAAGCCCAGCTTGCTCTGACTTAGATCGGACTACATACACATCTGTCTCCCGCATCACAACCCCTGGAGACACTTTGCCTCCACACGTGACAGCCAATGACAGCCAGCATTTGTCGGACGAGATCTAATTTACCCCCATTTTACAGATGAGAAAACAGAGTCGTAGCAGCCAATCAGCAGCAGAACCTGCATTCAAACCCAAGGCTTTCTGACGGAGGGACCTGTACTCCAGCCTCCTGGGTCCGTGAGGTATTTCCAAATGCTTGCAGAGTTGGACAGTCTCAGGAGGCCACAGGTACTAATATCTCTATTTAGTCTCTTGCTCACAAGAGGAGAGGAGGGAATCCTCAGTTAGAGACGGGAAACCTGAAAGCTAACCCATGCCCCATGCCCAACCAAACCCTATTTTTAGAGCCCCTCTGGCCTGTTACCAAAAACACTTGAAACTTAATAAGTGCTTTAACAGGCCCCACTCGGAGCCGGGCTTCCTCCAGGGAAACCACAGGCCCCACAACAACATGAGAGCAGCCTGATAGGAAGGTCACGGCCACGTCCCTCATGGCCCACGAGGGGCTGAGGGAGACCTGAGGGGCTGGTGCGGCAGGACTTGAGAAGGAGTGCACAATCTGGACACCCAGTGCCTTGGGGCAAGGGAGGTGTATGAATGAGACGCTGCTTTGTGTACAAACCCACACCCGTGGAGAAACACACACACACACACACACACACACACACACACACACACACGTGCACACACAGACACAGGAAGGCATGGTCTTGTAGAAGGAGCCCTGGAGGGGGCGCCGGCAGACTTGACTTACTGAGGTTCAACAACTCTGTGCCTCAGTTTCCCTGGATAAGGAAGCGGGAGCTTCTGCACTAGTCAGTTCTTGGAACGTTCCAAGGACTGGAGTCCTCACTGGCTTTGCACAGGCCAAGTCCCTGCCCGACAGGGGGGAGGAGGTCATCTACCCCATGGCCAGCCCCCGGGGGCTCTCCCCACAAGCTCCGTTAGGAGCTTTGTGATGGATCAGTTTCTGGCTCCCCCAAAGCTCTGTTTCCTCAACAGTTAGCATGATGTCTGGGAACAGCTCGGCCAGGGGTTCTGCCATGCCCATCCAGCTCTGGCCACCCAAGTCGGCCTTGGAGCCACAAGACGCAGGGTGGAGTGTGGATATGACTGCTTCTAAAACGAATTCCTTGATGGGGCACCTGGCGGCTCAGTCCGTTGAGCTTCCGACTTCAGCTCAGGTCATGATCTCACGGTTCGTGGGTTAGAGCCCTGAGTCAGGTTCTGTGCTGACAGCTCAGAGCCTGGAGGCTGCTTCCAATTCCGTGTCTCCCTCTCTCTCCGCCCCTCCCCCGCTCACGATCTGCCTCTCTCTCTCTCAAAAATGAATACATGTTAAAAGAAGATTTTTAAAATGAATTCCTTGAAACCCCTGAGCTCAGCTTTTTCATGTGAGTGTGGCACTTATAATCCTGCCTGGCGTCTAGGGCTGTTGGGAGGTTCAAAGAGAAGAAAGGTTGGGGGCCTCCAGTAAGCTTGGCCGGGAGCTGGGGTCTTTCCTTCAGGGTCCGCGACTATGAAGCTGGGGCTGCATAAATGAGGGGGGAAAGGGACATCTTACGTGCCTTCCCTACCTCCGCCACGCTCTGCCTCCTCCGACTCCCAGAGAGAGACCCTGGGTGTCTCCAAATGTGGACACAGCGCCCTCCCCACAGTACGGAAGGCAGGTGGCCGGTCCCCACTTAAGAGGGAGGCAGACTACGTCCCCTGAGGGGATTATCAAATGCAGAGAGCTAGATGCTACCCTTGTACCCTACTAACTGCCCCATGACCTCAGGCTGGTCACTGCCCCTCTCTGGTCCTGGCTCTCGTCTGTGAACCAAGGGGTTGAAGACATTTGACTCCGTCCTAATTCTGCCTGGGGTGGCAGGAGAAGCAGCAGAGGAAAGCTGAGGGTGGGGGTGCCCAGCCAGGTCTCCAAGCTGTCTGTGCAGTAACGATGCAATTAACCTCCCAGGAGGGGGGCCCAAGCACCCCAAGTGCCATGCCGCATTCCTGCCAAGAACTCCTTGTCCACTGGAGAGCATGCACGAAGGACTCTCTCCTTCTCCCTGGGGTTCTCTCCTGTATGATTCTCCCACCTCCTCCCCCAGGAAGACCGCCTGGGATATTTGCCCCCACCCCCTAAGCGAACTGCCTCCTAAAGAAAGAGTCCACTTTATTCTAAGCAGAGAGGCCATCCCTGCACCTGTTTCCAGTAATCTGGCCACTAGATGCCCAGAACTCGCTAAGGGCCCCCTGGATTTGAGAATAATAACACAGCTTTTATTAAGGGCTGACATGAGCCAGGCACTGAGCGGAAATGCTGTGCTAACCACCAATGCCAAGCGGCTGGCCCTGTTGTGATCCCCATCTTCCAGATGAGGAAGCTAAAGGCTTAGAGAAATGCAGTCAGGGGCTACAGGTCTATACGCAATAGCAGAGCCGCTCCCCTCCCTCCTCCAGCCCACCACGGAGCCTTCTGGCATCAGATGTCGCAGAGCAGCGGTTGGTTCTCAACCAGGGGCTAGAGGGTCCTCAGGAGACGCTGGCCGTGGCTGAGGCACTTTCGGTGGTCACCCCTAGAGGGGCACCGCTGGCCTCTGGCAGGTGGTGGCCAGGGATGTTGCTGAACATCCTACGACGCACAGGACGGCCTTCCGCAAGAAAGAATTATCTGGCCCGAGATGTCAACAACTCTGTAGTACAGGAAAGAGCAGGGACTTCAGCTGCCCAGGAGACCTGGCCTCTTGGCATTAAGCCTTTTAACAACCTGAAACCTGATAAAGCTTCTGTAGCTTTTAAATGGGGCTAAAATAAGACGCGACTGGTGTCACCGAGAGGCGGAGTCGCACCTAGCCGAGCAGCCAGCAAATAACGGGTACTTAATGAAATGTCGCTGTGGCCAATTCCGTCCTTCAGTGCGGCTCCTGTGAGGGCAGCAGCGAGCAGCCCACACACGCCCAGGGCCAGCAATGCAGGGCATTTTTGAGGATGACAATTGGTGGGTGGAGAGCCGCCCTGCCAGGGGCGAAGCGTATGGCTTCGCATTATTCCCTGTGCTGGGCCCACAGGAAATGGCCCCCAGGCCCCCACTGGCACTGCCTGGGGCCTCATGAGCTGGCGGGTCCCTTCCGGGGGCCGGGGGTGGGGAAATTCAGCCTGTGGTCAGCTCCAGGATGAGACGCCCCGGGGGAGACTCGCAGGGGCACCTGCTTGGGGTCAGAGGCTCTGCTCGGCGGGGGAGGGCGAGCCACCGGGAGCCCCGTTTTCCTGGGCACAGGTTCTAAAAGCCTGTTTAGGTGGGCAGGGAGGGCAAAGAGGCATGGCATACGGATGAGGCTGCCCAGATCCCAGGCCTGGGGTTCCTGACAGGGCAAGGGCGTGGTGAGAAGCCGCTGGGGCACAGCCAAGGCAAAGAGCCTCCTCCCCGCCCCACCCCACCCCCAACACCAGCTGCAGGAGGGCACGAGCTAGCCTAGCGTGAGGCCAGGTGA